GCGCCAGATTTCGCGCGCGCGCGAACACGTCGAATGTTGGCTGCACGTCGGCTGGATCGCTTTGCATGAAATCAATCTCGCTTTGGACCTTGATTTTTGGCTGCTAGCTATATTTTTGGGAAACCGGAAAAAATACAGTATCGTTTTGGTTGAAACTATTCTCAACTTGGCCGGGCAATGGTGTAGTAGCCCGTAGACTCTCCTTCATCGTCGAGGCACGCTTGAAGTAGAAGAAGCAAAATTGCCATAGCGTGAAGGTAGGCTTAGGCGGGTCCGCGGCAAGAAGGTTATCGGACACGACGTTGGAGAAGGAGAGAGTTGATTGTGTCTTCGGCAAATTCTAATTTTTGGCTGAAGCTCAGGACTCTGTGAAATAGATTTCCTATTTTACGAAATGAAAACATAAATAATGGTTGAGAGTGGGACACGTACCAAAATAAAATATATGTTTTACTGGAAAATAGTAATATATATTTGTGTATCTAGTTTTGGGCATCCCTGCGGATGGCGCCCAAGATTCGCGCGCTGCATCTCCTTCCACACGATACAGAGCTAGCTCATTCCGACCGTGTAAGGACTTCATTTGGGTGCTGGAAAAGTCTGCCAAATAGCATATGGCCACGAAGAGAGTACTACTTTCCGGCATGATATTCAGATCCGTACTATCGTAGTTTGAACAACTCGAATTGTTATTAATAGAGTAATAATGATGACTGGTGCTCGATATTAATATGAGAGTACTTATACTGGTAGTGCTTGTCGCGACTTTTTCATATATCTAGATATCAGTATCCCAAATATTAAGATACTTTTTCTTATAAGTTGCGACCAAAATTGCCGTTTTGGTCCTACATGTTGTAACGGACCGTGCCGTGGTGTAGGCCACAGCACAGCGGGCCCAGATGATGATGATGGAGCGCGGCAGAAGTGGCACGTGGCGTGCCAGAAGATCACCGCGTACAGAGACGTCGGGCTCTGTGAGGCAGCGCATGGCGCTGGAGGATGTCCAAATGAAGACCGTGACATTGAAGTGCAGTGCGTTCCTGCGCATCACGGGGGATCCAGTGCGCCAGGTGCTGAAAGGCGGTTTTGGCCGCTCACAAAATAATCTGCTCCGAGGAGAGCAAGTGGCTCTACTCAGTGGAGAACAAAAGAATCGGCTCAGTAGAGAGCAAGTGAATCTGCACAGTGGAGAGCAAGTGGCTCTACTCGGTGGAGAGTAAACGAATCTGCTTGGTACTGAGCAAGTGTGTGTGCCCTGCGGAAGCGAGCAGTGCGCGATCGAGAGGTCGCAAGAGTTGAGGCGAGGCGGCGTGTGCTGACGGGGAATTCAGACCGTCGTTGAGCTTGTTGGTTGAGGCGAGGCGGCGCGTGCTGACGGGGAACCCAGCCCGTCGTTGAGCTTGTTGGTGGTGGTGTGCATTGACAGGGAATCCAGTGTGCACTGCTTGAGTGCTGGGCGAGTACAAGGGCGGAGTGTGCACTGACGGGGAATCCAGCGTGCGCGCTGTCCAAGGGCGAGCCTGGTTGAGTGTGTAGGTTGCGTTAGCAAGTGGCTAAAGTAGCTTATTGATGATTAATAAAGTAGGAGCGGGCACAAGTGGTGAACGTTCCGGCGCAGGGTCAAGTGGATCCTGTCAGCCAGTGGTGTCTATTATTAAGTAAAGCTACGAAGTCTAAGTGAAAGCGGACGCCGTAGCGCAGCACTGTGAAGCAGCGACTCGCCCCACGGCCGGACGAGATAATTGGCCCATTACAATGTATTCAATGCGTCACTCACAATTAAATGTCCTGCAATTTTGAAACGGCCCAGATCGTACCTAAGTACCCGCATATTGTACGTAAATGGTTTTCACTCATGTTAAGTCTATAGTAGCGTTCAATTAAAGAATCGCGTGCGGTACAATTTCGAGTAGAACGCACAATACCCGATGGCTACTATTCTTCACTTCGCAATTAGACATGCCCTCACACTTTAGTGACGGCACAAATTTGGGATGATTGACAGGCTCGATCAAATCTAAGGAAGAAGACCGGCTTTGAGTAGATTTCATCTTACCCCTCTAGTGGAGTGTGCTCTGCGTCAGTCCGTCAGTCCGTCAGTCCGTCCGAGGGTAGGGTTCTAAAATGTAACGCTAATGCGGGCGTTCTACTGGCTGCCGAGCGCAGCGAAGGCGGCCTCGATTCGCTAAAATTGCAGTATGTGGTGTACACACTGTATGTGGTCAACACATCGTACTTAAAAGCACCGTTCAAATTTCATTTTGCCCCCATTTTCAAAACGGAAGCCGCGGAACGCCACGTTACTCAAGGTACGCTGCGTGTATGCATGTTAGTTTACATTAGTAGCTAGCAAGACACACATACACAGATAGTCCGAGGTTCCTGGGGCTGCTTAGGGGGTAGCTTATAACTTGCGGGATTTTATCCTGCAAGTAGGTAGCCGTGCTATGGGGATTTAGTTCCAGAGCCCTTTGGGTTCTTGGGGCTTTATCCCACCCGCCACTCTGCGCGAGAGCACATTTGGCACATGGTCCATTGACCGCAAACCCGACAGCGAACCAGTTGAGCCGGTCGTTAATGGTTATTGATGGGCACGCACATTGCGTGCGTGCAGTTGATCAGGAGGGGTACCGTAACTGGCCTCTTTTAACCGACAGATGGGATGGGGGCTGTAATAGCCTATCAATAACCAGCCTTTGCAATTAACGGCCGCCTTTTTGGCAAAAGGATATCGCACCTCAAGGCACACGTGCGTGTCCCTCCTGAGTCCAGACAAAAGAAGGAAAAATTGGAGCCGAGAGCACGAATATCTCTATTACTTGGTTATAGTCATGATACCAAGGGCTACAAATTTCTGGATTTGAAGACAGCTCAAGTCGTGACTGCACGTGGAAGAAACACGCGATTTCACGAGGAGTTTACAAGTGACGGCACTTACGTAAAGCAACTCCTAGAGAACGCATATCACGATGGTGATCATCAGCTGCCCGATAGTGTTCCGGTGGCACGCATCAAGACTAGTATGGAGACGTACCTGCCTGGTTGGAGCTCTGAGTCTTCGAATGTGACGAAGCAGCTCGAGATGGTGCCAATAGCTGATGACCTGCAGGACAAAGAGCATGAGTCCAGTGGGAGTGCGAAAGACGACTTACCTGACGAACAAAGGAGAGTCTCAGTATGAACGATCAACCACGGGCTATGCGTCGTACCGTTTCCAACGCGAGCGCTCGTGCCCACGCGCGTGTGTCCAAGAAGGAAGAGGCCTTCGGCGCTGCAGCTTCGGCTATCTCGGAGAGATTTGTCGTCTCTGGTGAGCCAGCACTCCGCAAGCGGCAGTGAACGACTTGTAGCGCCAACGCTCTTATATAACTGACCTAGCAGACACTTGAGCTCAACCTCGCTATCGAGAACGAGGTGTTCGTACAGGTCGTTGCAGTGTAAATAACAATTTCAGAGATGGCTACATTCCACTACTGTAGATGGTCGTCACGTTGTAGTGGGCAAATTGTGATGGTACCACAAGAATGGTACAGTCATTCGTACTGG